TACTTACTTACTTACTTACTTACTTACTTACTTACTTACTTACTTACTTACTTACTTACTTACTTACTTTGTTTGTCTTTGTCACTTCCCATTCCTGCTTCTCAGTCAGTCCTGCCCCATCTACTCACACCTGTTCTCTGTGCTCATTAGTCTCACCTGTCTCTACCTACCTCATCAGCCTACCAGTTCATCTGCAGTCTGGCATTGTGCTTCCATGTCTTGTCTGGGTTTCTTCTGTGTTTCTTCAAGTTTCTTTTGCTGTCACACCAGCATTTTGTTTAGTATAATTATGTAATTATGGTTTTAGTTTTTGAGCATCATGTGTTGGTCTGCATACTTGTCTGATCTTCTAAGGTACCTAATAAAGTAGTTAGTGAGTGTACATTGTGTTTGCTGCATGAGTATAAAGAGATCTGTGTTCACCAGCGTGCCCTTGTTTGCATCCATGCTGTAGGGAGAGTCTCCGGTGGTCGTCAGTGCCTTGTTGTCTTTGTACCAGCGGTAGGTGGCAGGAGGAACACTCAGTTTGTCTTTACACTGAAGCTCCAGTCCTGTTCCAACAAACACGGAGCTTGGCACCTCGCAGGAGGGGACGTGAGGAGGCACTGAGGGAAAAATAGAGTCCCAAAACACAGTTTTACTGAAACAAATTAGGAGTAAGTTTTGAAAAAGTCCAGAGTTTAAATCAAATTTTAATGGTTCTTCGAAGGTAAAATTATTACTACACATTTTTCTAACTTCGAAAACTTGCAGGATCTTCTCAGAAATAAAAATATAATAATCTTATCAAAAACATTTGTTGAACAAACCAGTACCGTATAAAACTGAGAGCCTGTAAATATAAAATGCTTTTGCTAAAGCGTGAATGTGAAATACCTACTGACATATAATATGTCTGGTGCTGGCTATATTTTTATTTTTGCATTAAATTTGATCAGTTGTAGAAACTATTTAATTTTTTTGCACAAAGATCACATTATAATCACATTTTTCCTTCTGTTCCCCAGAAACACATTCACATTAAACTGTATAAGTTCATAAACATGATAATATGTATTGGCTCTAAAACCATCACAAGTTTTAATTAAAAACAAAAGATGATCATATAAATAACATTTGGATCATAATATCCATTTGCAATTTGTTAAAAAATATACTGTTATAAGACAATTTGATGCTGGAGATGTCAAAGTCAAAATTATGCATTTATTGAGCATTTTTCACAGATTTCAAAAATATGAATCTGCATATAATGTCATATTTCTGCTTTCCAATCTATATATTTGTTTTTAATTCCTCTAAATCTTACCAGAATAAAGCGCATGTTTCCAAACATGTTTGTTCTCTTATTTTGTAGGGTCAAAAACACTCAGGTTTTCTTCTCACCGAGCACGCTGAGAGTTACTRTTGCCTCTCCGAGGTTGATGTGGTCCTCGCTGGCGGTCACCTCACAGCGATATTCTCCTGAGTCTTTCTGAGTGACGGAGTGGATGGTCAGGGTCGCTCCCTCTATCTTGGCTCTTCCTGCGTAKGATCCTGAAGGGAAGCATGGAGAATAAATAAGGATGAAGGCAAACTGTTTGTTTTTTCGTGAAAAGCTGGGAAAATGTGTTGAAAAGGCATTTCACTCACCAATAAATTTTTGATTAAAGTAAACAAAAGTCACCCCCTTTTCTTTCTTTTTCCACTCAATTCGAGGGTTTTGATCTTTTTCTGTCCTAAACTCACAGGACAGCACAGCATCTGAGAGAAAACAAAACAACAAATGAGTTGAATATCTTAGCTCCCATTAGTTTTTAATTGAGCATCTTTGTTTTCCTAATTTTGAGAACTATTAAGTTTTAGTCAATCTGTTTTGACAAATCTGTTTATTAAAAATATTAACTGAGTAATAAACTATATTAGTCATTAAATTTAATGACAATTAATCAATAAAAGAAAATTTGTTCCTAAATTTAAAAAAATAATAATAAAACTGCATGTATGAAAAATAGCTCCGTCTCACCGGTGTGTTCATGAACCTCCACTTTGGGTTTCCTGGTGCTCACGGTCACAGACATACAGATGGGACCTGGAAGAGTAAAAACAACATAAAAATCAGTCTACTAATTCTATTCTCAGTCCACTAGGGATATATTTTTGATCTTGATAACAGTCTCAAGTGGAGGAGTTTAAGTATCTGGGGATCTTGTTCACGAATGGGGGAAGAACGGAGCGGGAGRTCGACAGGCGGATTGGCGCAGCGCCTGCTGTAAAGCGGGCGCTGTACCGGTCCGTCGTGGTGAAGAGAGAGCTGAGTCA